TGGATTAGCTTTGATTTCTTCTGGTTCTTGATTATATGATCTTCAGCTTCATTTCTTCCACCAAGTCTTTATTTTCCAATTACCAATCCATCTTTGTTTCCCAGTTTTGCATTCCAGTATGAATACATTTTGGTTGCATTTTTGACTGCAGAAGTTGGTAGAATTCCTCAATTTCCTTACCTTTGGTTTTAGAAGTTCATGATGCAATCATGGGTTTCTCAATTGCTTCCTATGCATCTGAAAGTCAGACAATGAATAAAGGTTGACAGAAGAAGAATTGATCCTTTTGAATTGTATTGGAGAAGAGTACCATGAACTGTCAAAAGAACATACAAATCTGCTCTGGATGAAGAGCATCCAAGGTGCTCCATAGAAGCAAAGAGGATGAGACATCCTCTCACATGTATAATTTGGGTATATTGCCAGGAGAGACCATTCCTTGAGAAAAAAACCCTAAACCATTATGCTGAAAGGTCGAGTGTTGGATTATTCCACAAATGTAGTCAGTCTGATTCCTATGCAGTTCATTGGTGAAATCCATGTGTAAAGTTGTCTTTTGTGTCTTTTAGAAAAAGAAATTACAATGACTAAATAATTGTAAATACAAAATTCAGTCATTCTATTTCCAGCCTCATTTCTATCACCAAGCCCGTATTTTGCAATTACCATTCCTTCTTCGTTGCTTCCTATTTGCTTCCCAGTCACCAGTTATTATTAGCTAATCCTGATTGCATGTTTGGTCAATTTCAGACTGCAAAATTTGGTAAAAATTCTCAATTTCTTTCTCTTTGGCACTATATGTAGGAGCATATACTTGAATAATAGTTGTGTTAACAGGTCTTCCCTGTATGAATATCATATCACTCACAACATTGTATTTCAGGATAGAATTTGAGGTTGTCTGTTTGACTATGAATGCAACACTGTTCTTCTGTTTCTCATTCCCTGCATAGTATATCATATGATTATCTGATTCAGTGGCCATAGCTGGTGCATCACATCTCAATAATGCCTAGTATGTTGACATTCATGCCTTCCATTTCATTTTTAACAATATCTAATTTTCCAACATTTAAGCTACAAACTTTCCATGTATCAGTCATTAAATGACATTTTTTATTGATTTTTCTCATTTCAACTAACTTCCAGCCTGGGCTCTACCACTACACTATTATAAATATCCTCTTTATTCATTGGGTTTTTTCAAAAGCCTTTTATTTAGGAAGTAGATGGCCCATCCTGCTTCCTAGTCTCTCTTATCAGGGAGCTCCACCAAAACCTGTCCACGATGGGAATCCCTTTTGGAATTTGATACACCAGTGGCAGAGATTGTGGCAGAAGGCAGAGAATACCAGAAGGATTATTATTTGTGTTTTATTAACTTTGCAAAGATTGTGGATCACAACAATTTATGGCTCCTATTGCGAAGGGAGTCAAGAATACTTAGTTATGCTCATATGAAAACTATACCTGGGTCAAGAGGTTGTAATTCCAATAGAATAAGGGAACACTGCATTATTTAAAATTAAGAAAGGTGTGTGGCGGGGCTGTATCCTTTCTTCATAGCTGAGCAAATCATTTGAGAAGCTGGACTTTATGATGAAGAATATTCATCAGGACTGTATGAGAACTCAGCAACAACTTGCATTATGCATGACACAACATTGGTTGCTGAAAGTAAGGAGAACTTAAAACTTTGTGCAGAAGATCAAAGTTTGCAACCTTCAATATGGATTACATCACAGCATCAAGAAAACAAAAAGCTTCCCCAGTGGGTCAATAGGCAACATTATGACAGATGGAGAAAAGACTGAACCTGTCAATGATTCCATCATACTTGGATTTACAATTAATACTTTTGGTACCAGCAATGAAGAAATCAAAGGACATGTGGCACTTGGAAAATCTGCTGCCAAGGACATTTCCAAAGTGCTGAAGAGCAATGATGTCAGTTTAAAGATCATGGTGTATCTGATCCAAGCCATGTTCTTTTCAGTTACTTGCTGTTCATCTAAGAGTTGGACAATGAAAAAGGAAGACGGAAAAAGAATTGATGCCTTTGAGTTGTGATGCTGGAGAAGAGTACTAACTATCTCATATTCAAAGGGCTGCCAAAATAGTGAAGGTGTCTTAAAGAGAGTACAGCCAAGGTTTTTGGCGCCAAGGATGGTGAAACTTCATCTCACAAAATCTGGTCATGTTATTAGGAGGGGTCACTCCTTGGAAAAGGACATTATGCTTGGAAAAGTAGAGGGTCAGATGAAAAGAGAGGAATAACCCACAATAAGATGGAGTGACACAGTGACTGAACAGTGGGCTCACGCATATCAGAGATAATGAGGATAGCCCAGGATAGGTCAGGCTTCAGACGTGTTGTTTATCAGGTTGCTATGAGTCCTACTTGACTTGATGGCACATAACAGCAATCATTTCCAGGAGGTTGTTCTGCTGCCTTATAGTTAAGAAATTGTGCTGCCAACTTAGAGGCTGGTGCTTTGAATCCATTAGATGCTCCATGGGAGGAAGAATGGCTATCTCCCCTTGGGTGATTTGCTGCCTCTGACAACCAGTTGGAGGGTCAGCTCTAAGCCAGTGTCCACTCAAGGGTGCATAGCAACAACACTCTCTAAGAGAGTCAGGCCAAAGGGTCCCACGGGCATTTTCAGTACCAGGCTGCAATATAATATGATGTATGAATCAGAAGCCATGTTAAGAAGGAGCAATGTACATTTTAATATAGATCACATTTTTGCTTAGAACATTAATCTTGAATGTGAACTATGTCTGATTTCCTGTATATGTCAGTCTAAGTGGTCTTAAAGGACTCTTCAACCCCATACCTGTCTCTTCCCCTCACTCATGCACCCAACTTCTACAGGACAGCAGGGAGACAAAAGAATAAAGGCTGACTCACTGAAGATGCTGGGGGCGCTGGGGGCTGAACCTCCACCTCCAACTCCAAGAAGGCTGTTTCCTTTGAGCGAGAACAGAGAAATCAGATAGACACATTGATCTGGGGTTGACAACTGTCAGGTGCCAGGAGGGAGAATACCAGGGGAGGAAGGAAGTCTGAGGTGCTAGTGAGAGCAGAACCCAGACAGGATGGAAAGGTCTGAGACAGGGGAGCATCAAAGCCTAGAGGGAAAGGGCTACAAGGTTGGCAGTAAACGTGAGGTGGAATAATAAGCTCACTGGAAGCCAAAGAGGTGGCTGAAGATGTGTGTGGTAAGTTAGAAAACACTGGGCAGGGCGTGAGAAAAGTAATTCCGTTTAAGCAGTTCTGAAGGTCTCCTAAGTGTGTTGAGATGTTATCGAAATCAGTAATAAAGCAAGATTACAAATTCAGGAATTATTTACAAAAGATATGTGAAAATTTCTCACATCCACAACAACCTTTATTAAGGTTTCCTCGGTGGGACCGTCCAATGAGCCAACTAGAAAAGCTGAACTGACTACTACACATTGCTTTGGACTTTTGTACACAATAGACTGGATTTTCATATTCAGAACAAGTGTTTCAACTCATGCTTGCTTTCACAAATACCGGAAATCAGTCCCACGAACAAAAAAAATTTTTTTTAAATCAGTTGTCTTCTTAGCGAATTTGCGGTTCTTCACGTAGCGCCTAGTACAAGCCACGCACTCCCCCGAGGCCGGAAGGTCCGTGTGTAGGTGTGTGTACAAGAGTCTGCCAGCAACGTGCGTCCTCGCATTGAGATCCGCCATGTACCAAACGCCGCCATCCGCCACCCTGTCGCCTGAGAGAATCTGGACGCCAATGTTTTAATGGGGGAAAAAAAATCCACCAACAAAATCAGTTACAATAGAAACTCTCACCAAACCCAAATCGTAAGGGATCTTCTTCCTTTCCTTTTCTTCCCCAACCCCTCCACCCACGACCCCAAGTCAATCGAAAAATGCGCTCGGCTTTCCCGGAAATTGGGTGCACAGAGGAATTCATTTCATTCCACAAACTAGGAAACCTCTGTGGAACCAAGAGTGGCTGCATCTGCAGACGCAGTCTCAGAAACTGAGAACATTTTCGAGCCTCCGTGCTGCCCCTCCGAGCGCACGGGCCCCGGTGGGCGCGCCGGCACGAACGGCCCCTTCGCAGGCGCCCGCAGGCTCCGCGGAGCGCGGCCAGGCCAGGTGCACCCGCCTCGCCCGCAGCGCGCGCCTCCCGCCCCCGGGCACGGGCGGCCGAGCAGCTGAGATTTACGGCGCGCAGGGCGGTGGTTTCCGGGGCTGATCGGCGCCCAGGCTCAGATTACAGGT